AGCACCGCCGTTGCCCGGCAACCTGATATATGAGACAATGGATTTAAAATATTATAAAAGCCGGTGCCGGGGGAGTCTGGAGGAGTCACACCCCCTGGCCCGGGAAACCCTGTATAGCCTTAAAGGCGAGGAAGGGGAGAAAAAAAAAAATATATATGAACCAAGAAAAGCTACATGCAAGGTAGCCAGACCAAGAAATGCTCACAGGAGGATTTTGGTAAGAACTGAGTGAGGACCATTGTGAATCTATAAGAAATTTTTGGTGAAAAATCAAAACTTTAAGATGACAGCTAAGCAACTCTGTCAAAAATGTAAAAGATAGCTATGGAACCACACTTACCAATAAGAAAGATATCTTGAAATGAAGTTGAAGAAAATTGGACCTTGTTAGACAGGCATTACAGTCCCATAACAGAAATGAGATTCCTACGTAGATTTGTTTGAGAAACTAGGAAGGATTACATTACAAATGAAAGTACCTGGAGCTCAAAACCACTTTGGAGAGCAGACAGTTCAAGTAGTTTGGTAATGTCTGCAGCATGAAGGAAAACATGGATCTTATAAAAGTGTTAGAGGCTGAACCAACTGGGAGGAAACAACAAAGGTGTTCCAGAGTTTCATACCAAGAATTTGTGTAAATGATTGGAAGTGCAAGAGCAAATGAACAACAAAATGAAGAGGTTAAGCAAACACTAGGAAGAATGGCTGTGCTGGATACAGGATACTCGACATGTGAGCAATAAAAAGGTAATACATTTTATTAATTAATTTTTATTAATTGGAACTTACTCTGGTAAATGTTACATTTTTAAATGCTTAAACTAAAAAGAAATGTCTTCTTATAAAAATAATTAATCACTTGGTGCTTAAGTGATCCCATTTCTATTATGCGACTGTAATGCCTGTCTAACAAGGTCCAACTTTTTTATCAATTATACTTAGGAGTTGAATGATTAATTTGCTCAAAGAATCGCTTGTTCCTCGAATTTATCATCATTAAGACAATTTGATTTTGGCATTGTCACATAGGAGAAAAGCCTTTCCACCTGAGCACTTGAGGGCAGTGGTTTATTCTATTTCTTTATTATCTGCTCAACTTTGGATAACTTCTCAGCATAGCAAAATCTCTTTGGGGGTATTCAAAATATTGCACCATAATGGTTTCTGCTTGGGTTTTGGCCGTGACTGACGAATCAGAAATATTGTCGAAGTCCTCTCTGAAGTCAAAAAAGTCATTATTGGCAACATCTGTTTCCATTTGATTTTGTGACACTCATTCTTGTTAAACAGATTTTCATATATGATCTCCTTAAAGCGTATTGTTACTCTTTCTTGACTCCAATTATCAACGCATGGAAATCATTTCCTTTTAAATTTAGGATAAAAAAGGGCAGCGGTTGCAGCATTTTTCTCTTCAGTAGTGCAGAAATCTAAAATTTTGGTAAAACGTCGCTCAACACTATTTAAGAAGCCTTCTGCGATAGTTTACAAAATTGTAAATCTAACCGGGTCAAATTAATTAATTTATTTCTTAATACCAAAAGAGTAGGCAAAAATAAACCGTAATACTTGTTGGTTTCACACTGTAATATATCTATTGCTTCAGCTAATGGCTTGACACATGTTAAAAATTCTTCTGTATGCAAAATTCCTCGGTACCTAGGCAGTCTTTTATACTCAATTGTAAACCCCTTCTCTAGCTTCGCCCTAAGACATCCATGTACCCGTATTCCATCCTGAAATTTTCAGAGTATCGTTCCGACTGTTGTACCTACCCTGACCTTTCATTAAACTTATCATTATTGCCATCAGCAACCCATATGTAAACAGTGCACTGTTTTACCAGGAGACTGCATCTATGGTAAACTGAAAGGACCATAGATGCAGATTTTCCATTCTGGTTGGGGGGATGGTAAAAAAAGGTTTCAGGAATTTATATTACCTCGAAAATTATTAGTGATAATTAACATAACAAAATACATTGTAACGTAGAGTAAAATGAAGAATATATTACTATGTATAAATTAAAATGATATATATGGTAAATATATTTTTTGTGTGTGTGCATGGTTGTATTTGAAAATATGTTAAGAAACCAACTGAATATGTTACATAGTTTTATTTGTATTGAGTCAGTGAGATGAACTCATCTCTTCATATTTGCTGCCGGAAATGTAATAAAATCTTCACGTAAAAATTAAAGACTGTTCATGAATTAATCATAAAATCTTATGATATGTTGCTACATATAATTAATTATCTTTGAATATTAATTGAAAATTCTATAATAGGAACATAGAGAATGGTAAAATAGTTATGTGTGTACTTCAAGGCATTAGATTAGTCATTTAGTCGACTTTTCCAATTTTCTTAATTGACTTTAGTTTACATGATTAGGACCCTCCTAAGATCTTAACATATTCATAATTATAATTTTATGTTTAATAAAATTAAACATTTATGTATACATCATTTCAAATTAGCAAATCCCAACTTTTTAACATTCCAAAACTTTTACAACTGTAAATACAGCCGTATTCACTTTTAAAGTGGTGAATACGGCCGTATTTATATTTACAGCTGTGAATACTTATCATCTGTATTCATATTTATTTTTCTGAATATAAATATATTCATATTTATATTTTTTAATATAAATATGCCCATCAGATTGGAAAGGAGTGAAATAGGACGGAAGTCATGAAATGAGAAAGGATTCAAACTGTAAAACTTCAAAGTTTTATTCAAAGGTCGAACTAGAGGGGTTTTCCAGGAAGATAAGAATATTGAGTTTTGCAAAGGAAAGTTGTAGATATGATAAAGGACGGGAAGGACTTCAACGCTTCTTTTTATCATTTCCTTAATTCCAGGTGTCAGCCGAGGAACCACGGGACGATGAAATGTTCGGTATTTCAAAATAGCATGGATATCTAATATGGATTATAGATTTGAGGTAAGGGTAGAAACCATAGGATCAATGGAATTATAGGAATATATGTTATCCCATTAGACAGAATCAAGGTCAAGTTGAAGGGATTCATAGGAAAGGAGGTTCAAATTGCAGTATGAAACTATTTTGGGTACTAAGGATTTCATAGGCAGGTCATACGAAATTTGGATCAGGTCGTGTGATGATAAAAAGGGGACTGGATGTTATGAGGAGGAAAGGATTTTTAGAGGAGAGTTCTAGATGTGGATATCTAATATGTGTCGGAAATTGCGTGTGATGAGTGGAAGAGCAAGAAACAAGATAAGATTAAGGGAGAATATTAGGTCAGTAAGGAAGAATTTTTCAGGAGATTTTGAGAGCGTATTCACATTAAAATCGACATCGGAGTAGTTAGAAACCAGATTGAGAAGGGAGGAAACTGAAGAAATTTCAAGAAACAAATATTCAATGTGAGAGAAGTCATTTAAGGGAGACTGTAAAGGGATTTTGGCCTTAAGATTATCATTTATACATAGTTCATCTACCATGCAATCAGATCTGTCATGACATAGGAAACAGTAATTGGAGGGAGATTTGGGAGGAAAGAATAAAAGATTTTAGCCAGATTTCAGATACTGCTATTGTGTAGTAAAACTTAATGAGGAAATATTTCTGGAATTCATCAAAGTGGGCTTTAAGGGATTGTTCATTGACGTGACAGGAGTTTAGGATATTAATCCTAACTGAGATGTTGGGAAGTAGAATTGCAGGAAAAAGGATCTAGGATGGAGAATAGGATATAACAATTTTTTAACAAAAAAATCATTTTTGACATAGCAAATCCAATTTAAACATAAAATAAAAGATGAAAAGAAAAACTTAAAATCATATGAACTCAAATAAAGATAGAAATACAAGATTAATTTATGATATAAGAAAATATAAAGATGGCTTTGATTACAATAAATCAAAAGAAAATAACTAATAGTAAAATAAAATTCCAGTCCATTAGAACAATGAAGGCAGATACTAAAAAAAATTAAAATAGAAATATTTTTGATGAGAAAAAAAAAATGTTATACAAACTTTTGGAAACTTACGAAATTCAACTAAAAAGGTCCAAGTTGCAAGGTTTCCCTAAAATTACAGCTGGATATCTGTCTGACTGTCTCCATCGAATTTTTCCGCCACTGAACCAGAGGTATCTTATCTTTTCTGTCATCTTTTTCTGTCTGGTTAACTAGTAAAGATCTTTATTGGCAGAGGTCATGGCTTCACTCACGTACACCCGGTGCAACTCGTTCTCTCCCCAGCATAGATGTAATGCAGAGAAGTCCCTCTTCGTTTTTCTCTACTGCAGCATCTTATCTCTTACGGTTTGCCTTATAAATCGAACAATAATAGGGTCCAGGGTCCCTTCCTGCTTAGGCTTAAGCCTCACAGCGTGATCCAGATCCTCTGGACGCCCAGATCCACTCCGACGCTAAGAATGATCCCAGTCACAGTTTCGCCCGCCTTCTCTGGAATTCCTTGAATTTCAATAGAATTTTTTAACTGATATTACTCAGTAAAATTTAAATGGTTTTCCAGCTCGGATATTTATTTTTTAATATATTATTTTCGAGGGTTAATTTTTCGATGTGAGTTTTCTGTTCTTCCCGGAGGGTTTCTATTTTTTATAAATGCTCCATATTTTTGAAGGACAGCTCCGTTGTTCGTTGAGTGTTTCTTTTATATCCTCCAACTCATCGATGCCCTGAAGCTTGGTCTTCATCTCCTTAACCTCATCGGTTAGCGCCCTCAGTAGGCCAATCATTACTCAGGGGCTGATAATGTACGCAGTTCACAATCAGTACACATCCATTTTTTCCTAATTTCTTTTAGTCCTATTATATAGTATGAGTTACATCAAACATTTACTTTATAATTTTAATATTACTTTTAAAAGAAACAGCATTAATTTATATTAAAAATCTTATCACCAGCATTGTTTAAAACATAATATCTGTCTCATATCTTGCTCTTTTACTGTTTCTTTTGATCATATTTTTAATTGTATTTTATTTCACAGACTAGTCAATTGAGTGAATCTATTAATCATCTCTCATTATCTGACAATGAAGACATTCTCGATGAAGTTCCTGGTTTAAAGCAACACAGAATAAGCAAAGCACAGAAGAGACGTGAAAAGAAAGCACTTCAGGTCAAAGAAAGAGAATTACGAATATTTGAACAGGAAGCCGAGAATGTTTATGGTGCTCGGACCATTGAATTGGAAACTATTAAAAACATTTTAAAGGAAAGAGGTTTAATGATTTATGAAATACCGTCTGACGGAAATTGGTATGTTTTAAATGATTCATCTATGCATCTCTCGTTTTAGTTTATTTATCCTATTAAACTAAATTAAATATATTGATTTTGAACTGTAATAATACTGAATATCTTTAATTTTAGGTAATACTTTTTACTTTTACTTTCCTATTTTTTTTTTTTTATCCTCCCCTTTTAGGCTATACACTTTCCTGTCAGGCCAGGAGAGGGGGCGGGGGAATTAATCCCAGAGTTGTTAACTCCAGTGTATCAAGGTTGCCGGGCAACTAGTGTTTTGCATACACCTGAGCTCACTCGGCTACCCTGCTAACTTATATATGAAATATGTAGTAAGTAAAAGTATGGAGATCGTGAAAAATTTTGAATCAGAGTTTTCAATGGAAATACATGATTTAAGGAGGGTCCCTGAGTCCAAAGAAACAGATTTTCCAAAATGGTTTGTGTGTGTGAACAGTCTAGCTCAAAAACGAAGTTCTACAAAACCAAAATTATGTATTTAAGGTAACTATATCCCTGTGATGTTATAAGTTTTTAGCCCAAATCGAGTAAGTGGAAGTGGCACTTTATATTATCAATTTTAAATATTTTTTAAATTTTCTCGAAAACCCCTTTAACAATTTTGATTAAACTCACTATATCAATGTAAAATCAAGTGCTCTTTAATATCAGGCAGATTTTATCTTCATTGAAATAATCTAACAGCCCTCTAAGTCTAGTGTTCATAATTTCTTCCTTAAAGTACCTTTGATTTTGTTTATTACTACTAATATTTATATCCTATGTTTACTAATATTAACGCTCTTATTTAAACAGTTTTTTTGTGGTAGTTGTATTGGATTAAGATCAAAGTTTTTACAAAAGATCTACTTTTAAATTTTATTGATTTAAACCTTGTTTTAAATTTGTCTTGTAACCAGCACTTATTTTTTAACATTGTTGTATTTCATTTAATATTTTGAATCCAGCCACAAATTTTCATATGGTAATTAATTGTTTTAAATAATAATTTATAATCTTTCTTTCATTTATCTATAGACGAAGTATATACTCGTTACTTTGCAAACTGTGGAAATAAAATTCCCTGACTTTTCCCTATTTAATGATAGTTTTTCCTGATCAATATGTCAGGGGGATGATAAAAATGTATAGTCAGAACTATACATATATATAGCTTATTACTATAAACTATATATATAGTTTATAACTAATTCATTTATTATAAATTAGTAAAAATTGAAAGATTAGAGTAAAAAAAAGTCTGTTCAGTCTTTTAAATAACAAATATTATGTTCTAGAGGAAGAATTTTCTAAACTTGATTAGGATTTTTTATTTATTTTTATCGCCTTTATTTTATTTTCATACAGTGAGAGGATATAAAAGTTGATACTTGACGCTTTTCTCAGTACTTGTCTAGTATGCGGTCCAGATCAACTGCTATCTGCCAATGTTTATAACCTGAACACTGATAATTCTGATAAGGCACTAGATAATCTCTATCTTCCTATTCATATTTATTGTATTATATTCATATTATTGAAATTGTAAACAAAAACAAATGTAATAATAGAAAAATACTTTTATTTTACAACATATTTATGAAATAGACTAATAATAATAGTAAATAATAACAAAACAGTTTGATTTGAAATCGAAATAGACAAAAAGAAAAGTAATGATTTCCACAAAAATAAGCAAATCATCGTTTATATTGACGATAAAACACTCGTCTGTTTCTCAGCTATGTCCTCCAAACATCCATTGCTCAGGTAGAACTCTCCCTACATGATTTTTTCTTTTAGAAAAAAGACTCGTCTATTTCGATGACTGCCAGGCCCTCCAATTTTTTTACTTGACTTGTATAACATGTTATGAGCACAAACCTCTCTTAAAAATTTGTTCCACATTACCATAATTGTCTTGGATAGTTTCAGCTGCTCTTTGTCCACTGTATTGTTGTTAAATTTTTGGACCACCCATAAATTAATTTTAAAGCCATTAAAAACTAAATCCTCGACCCCACTAACCACGTTCTTTTCCTTATAGAAACATTTTTGTTGCAAGTGGTACGAAAGCATTTCCATTTTGTCTTCCTATCTAACTTCATTTGATGATCTTCACACTATTTCACGTTTGTAATTATCACGGTGATTTGAAAATATTCTATAGCCTCTTCTGAAGACGACAACTACCACATTAATAATTTGAAGAAAATCATGCAAATAGAACAAAAATAAACAATAGAATAACTGACAGCTTACACAAGATAAGAAGGGAGGTTATGTGACATAACATTAGATAACAAGAGAAGTTTCCTCCCGACCGGCTATTAGACAAGTAGACTTTCTCTATTATAAAATAAAGTGAGCTGCAGGCGATTCTTATTTTAATATAGTTTGGAATAAACACTTTAGTTTTTTTATTGGCACAAACAGACTAATAATTATCCATACGATACCAACTGTGAGGCCGGATAGCCAAGTAGTCCAGTCAATGAATTATTATAGAAGGAAATAGCAGGGACACAATTTTTGACTACAGGAAATTGTTTGAACCAGTAAGGAGGTAAGCATACTATAAGTTTCCACTCTGAGGTGGTGAGCCAGATGTGGAGAGGCGCCTAGGTCACTTTTTCGGGTTTTCATTTATGTCAGGGTCCAATTATGCCAAATCATCCAAAAAGTTCAATTTGTAATCCACCCCTCTCAGATCTTAATGAAAATTAGTAAATATAGATGTAAGTAAAAATACCAAATTTTAATAAATTCTAAAGATTAGTTTCAGAATTATATGCTTTTAAACTTTATAATATTTGAAATTGAGAAGACATTTTGGGCTCAAAACCAGCTTATACCTGTTTGGTTTTTATTTGTAAAACCAATATTTATTGACCAAGAGCTATCAAAATTTATTCATTTGTCATAAATTTAATATAGAATCTGCCGATACCATAAATTTTAACATTATAATTTTTCTTCATGTATAAACAAATTCTTAGACATAAATTTTCAAAATCATCATCATAATCCTTTCCTTCTCTACCGCTGCGCAGTGTGGGGATGTCCTATATAGAACTTGACCCATGTGTCCCTCTCCTGTACCAGCTCTCTCCTCCTGCTCCAGTCCAGCCCTCGCTTCCTGGACGCCTCCCACACACATTCTTCCCAGGTGATCCGTGGTCTTCCTCTTGTTCTTCTACCATCCACTCTCATCTCATACGTTATCCTGGCCATTCTTTCCATGTTCATCCTTAGGAAATGCCCGAACCATCTAAGTTTATTCTCGTCTAGAGTGATTTCTACCGTCTGTATCTCGAGGTTTGATCTTATTGTCGTATTGCGGATCCTATCTCTCCTGGTTTTTCCCTCAACCTTTCTTTGGTACCTCATCTCCATTGTCTGGATCTGCCCCTTGTGTTTTGAGGTAAGGGTCCATGATTCGGAGGAGTAAGATAGGATGGGCAGGAACTTTGACTTGTAGACAATATCTTTGTTTTCTTCGTCACTTCTCTTTTGTTGAGGAAACCTTTCCGGATTGAGTCCAACATTCTTCCAGCTGCTCTCAGCCTTTGCAACATCTCTCCATCGGTATAGCCACTTTCGTTGATCCATGCACCCAGATATTTGAAACCCTGCACCTGTTCTAGAGTCTGTCGGCGAGGACGTCTACCTATTCTCATGCATTTTGTCTTCTGTGGATTAATATCCATGTTAATACTAGACAGCTCTTCTTGCATGATATTTACGTTGTATTGTAGATCCCGGTCATCCACAGCGAATATAACGAGGTCATCAGCAGAAGCGAGGACTCTGTAGAAAGTAGTCTGTAGACTCCTATATCTCAGTTGAAAATGTCGCAGTCTGAGTTCAGCTCTCCTCAACGCTTGATCCAGCACCAGTACAAAAAGTAGGGGACTTAGGCTGCATCGCTGCCATATTCATTGAATCGTTTCAAACTCCTTGGATGTGTGGTTGCCAGTCCTTATAATATTTCTGGTCTTTCAATTGAGACTCCTAACAGCCAGGATCGTGCCAATGTCAACTTGTCTTTCATACAGAACTCCCTATGTATCCTGTACTTTTTGGCTCTGTCAAATGCCTTTTCAAGATCCACGAAGCAGACAGAAAGTTCTTTCCCTTTCTCTATGACCTGCCTCAAGTGAAAATCAGGTCCTGTGTACTCCTCGAGTTTCTGAATCCATTCTGCTCCTCTCCGATCTGGCATTCGACTACTCTTCTTACCCTTGCTTCAAGGATTCTTGAATAGAACTTACTTGGCACACTGAACAGAGATACGCCTCGATGATTATTGCATTCTCTAGGGTCATTCTTCTAACAGGCACTACCACAGCGATCTCCTAGTCCTTCGGTATCCTTTTCTTATGCCAAATCAAATTTAAGAGATGGAGAAACATTTCTTCACCTTTACTGTCCATGTACCGCATTATTTCGGGAGTTATTTCGTCAAGTCCTCCAGATTTGCTCAGCTTCATCTTAGAGATAGCTTCCTGCAGTTCTTCCTTGCTGATAAAATTATTTTCTTCCGAATACTCCGTCTCTGCATTGTGGATCTCATCCAGACTAACATTTCTTCCTTCCAGCAGCACCTTGAAGTACTCTCTCCATCTTTCTATTATATCTTCTTCCTGCCATAAAATCCTTTCTTCTTTATCCTTGATTCCTTTGAGAGAATTGGGTCTTTCCTTTCTCATTCCTTTTAAGACTTTCTAGTAGATCTTTTGTTTCTCTCTTAATTTTCAAAACATTGATAAAAATATCTGAAACTACCTATAGCTGAAATCTCTCTCCAAATACCCCAATACAGCCATGTATTAATGAAAACAGCATAAAATTCTATACCAAATGCTAAAATAATATTAGTGGTATTTTCTGTTAGAAGAGTTTTATTACATATAAAACCAAATACAGTAATTTTTAATTTACCAATTACAAATACAAGTGAAAATTGCTTGAATCTCTTCACATATTCTGGTGTAGCCACGTATTATCGAAAATCACATTAAATTTTCTATGAGATTATGGAATAATATTTGTGGAATTTTGAGTTATAAGAGATTTTTTATAATGTAAATCGAATAAGATTTTGTGTGATGCAAAAATGATGTGGTAATCGATATCGAAAAATACCTGTAGCTAAAATCTCTCTCCAAATACACCAACACGAAAAGTGAGAAATTGCACCTTTCCAGGTCAATAGAAGTAAGAGGAGTCCCAGTGAGATCTGGGGAGACTCCGATGGGCCTGGTGATGAGCGTGGGGCAGGCCTGGACCTGAGTTTCAAGGTAGAGGATATAGATTGTGCAAAACGGATAAGATCCAGGCAAGACGATACACCCGGGCTGCTTCTGGTAAGGTTCGTCCGGCAGTCGCTCAGGGATGAGTTGGTCCAGAGGCGAAAGTTTATTCCCCAATCTCCTCCTGAACAACTCTCCTATCTTATTTCACACTACCCTTAAAAATCTAGGTGTTACTTTTGATCAAACCCTGTCCTGGAAACCACACATCTCCCAAATTTCCTGTCGCACTATTTCCACCCTAAAACAGTTCAATCATTTACGTTATCTCCTTCCATATAAGTCCCCTTTTTCTCCCTTATTTTCCCCCACTTCGACTATGGCTGTATGGTGTACAGTGGACTCTCGGGAAATTTCGAGGCAAAACTCAAACGCCTAATTACAATTTGTTTTTGGAATCTCAAGAGATGTGCATATTACCCAGTATTACACTGAGTTGAAGTGGCTCTATCCATCCTATCGCCGTCAGTACTTTCTAGCCACCTTTCTGTACCAGATCATCGAACCCTTCTATATTTTTCACAGTTTACAATTCAAATATTCCATCCATTCCCATCCCACTAGATCTTGTACTTCTGACCTCTATCCTCCTCCTCACCGAACTGCTGCGTTTGACAAATCCTTTGCAAGTCAAGCCGCTTCCCTCTGGAATTCCATCCCTGCAGATATTCGACACGCACAATCCGACTGATTACGAAATATACCTTAGAGAACTATCTAAGTATCTCCAGAGAGTACCTCAATTTATTTAGGATATTTTAGTTTCTTATATATATGTATAGTTTTCTTGTATTTTTCTGTCTCTTTTTCTATATTCTTATTTTTAATTTAACTCTTAATATAAATATATAAATTATTTATGACCACACAGACATGCAATCTGTACTTATAATTTGTTCTAAAGGGACAACAGTCCCAGAATAATAAAATATATTTTCATTTCATTTCAACACAACCATATATTAGTGAAAACAGGATGAAATTCTTTATCAAATGATAAAATAATATTAGTGAGGTTTTAAGTTTGAAGAGTTATATTACAATTTAAACCTAATACATTAAAATTTAATTTATCAGTTATATGTACATGTAAAAATTGCTATAATATCTCTCCAAATACAACCATATATTACTTCAAACAACATGAAATATTATCCAAAATGATATAATAACATTAGATGCGGTAATTGAGTTTAATGAGATTTATTATAATATTAATAAAAAAAAAAAGATTCTGTATACAGCTGAGTCAGCAGTATGGTCAACAAAGTAATGTTTGTGTTTATCAAATCGGAAAGTGAATAACTCCTTGATTGCTTAGAGGTAGAGGTCAAAATATATTAAAATTAGATACTAGAGTGATTTTCACCAATAATCGTATGAAGTGATGAGTATCAATAACAATCCTAATTTATTTATAGAATTCCTTTAGTCTTGTTAGTTTTATCACAGCTGGCTCTGGTCAAGTAAAAATCATTAGTTTTATTCTGTGAATATAATATAATATCTTATAGATTGTATTATTCTAAATTCTAAATGCCATTCCTTCTAGGGAAACAATAAACTGTTCTTATACACACTAACAGAACTCTATAAGAAATTTGACAATGAAGAAAATAAACAAATCTATAAGATTAGTTAACCTATGGAATAAAACAAATGATGTTATAGTCCATGGTACAGAATCCTTTTTATCAAATTATTAACATCCGCCTGAAACTTCATAAATAGGTTCATCTCATCGTAACCTACTAATATTTTATTTACGAAAATTCTCGGAATTGGGACGTTTTTAATCTGGAGGTCAGTAAACTTTGTCTATTTAATTAGGTGCTAAAAACTCGTAAATACCTATTTGCTTTCCACTTGAATTGTAAAACAATTTGAGCACAAAGTCGAGAAAAACGTGGCCTTCATAAATATTGATCCGTTTGGCGTGACCTACACTCCCAAACTGTCAAAATAACGAGGTTAAATAGGCTAAAGGGTTTTTTCCACTTCTGAGGCACTGAGCATCATCGTTATAACAATTATATGTTTATAGCAATGAACTTTACCAGGTCCCTTAAGGTTGTTGTAAACGACATCCACTATATATTAGTTTCAATTTGAAAAAAATATTTTTGAACTAAAAAAGTTCCTTAACTTTTAACAATTTTCCCCTGTTTTGCAAATTCTCTGACTTTTCCAGATCGGTCGCCACCCTGTATGTAGTAAGTTACATTATTGCAATAGTGAATTTTTTTTGCATAAATATAGATATATCCTAGAACTATGAAATATTAATTGAAAAAGAAATTGGTGGTACAAATTCTTGATTTTAAGGCAAAGTTTGTTGAACATTGTTTTTCAGCTCCTGATCTATGTAAGCTACATACGTTCCATGATCCAATGTATAGCCCTGAGATTCAAAGGCGGAGTTGATACATGGTTCTTACAGTCCAATTTTCCAAGGGTTGTGTTTGATTTCATAATAAGGTATTTTTTATGGGTTAGGGTTATTAGGCCTATGCTCCATCCCCAAGCTATGGATCAGCAACTATGGTGTAAGACATCGTTTATCTTCCTGTGAATCTCTTAATGTCTAATAGCACCTGTACTTATTTTTTAAATTTATCTATTATTATTTTTATCTAGTGTTATAGAATCAAATCCCACAAACAGGATTCAAACTCATAACTTTTGGGTTTACACATATATATTCAATGATTTCCTTTTTTTGATTCGCTAAAATACGACATTTTAATATTTCATTATACACATTCATTCATGTTTTATTTTAGTTTATATTGTGCTATTGATCATCAACTGAAGATGTGCCATGGCAATGGCCTTGGTGTGACAGAACTGCGATTGAAGACAAGCACTGTCCTTCGTGAAAATAGCAATGAGTACTTACCATTTTTATCACATCCGGACACTGGTGAAATGTTGACTGAAAGTCAGTTTTACAATTACTGTGATCAAGTTGCACACACAACAGCTTGGGGTGGACAAGTTGAGGTATTATCAATTTCTTACATTATTAGTACAATTAATAATAACTTTTTCCTTGCAAATACCATTCCTAAGGAGTTAAGAATTATTTACAAATTTGAGGTTCAATATTTATTATTATCTCAAATTGGGATGTTACCTTATGGTAAGTTCCTAGTATTAAAGACATAAAATTAAGAAATTGAATAATTATGTATCATATTCTATTCTATTGTTATATTATAAATATTAAAATAATATGGTAAAGTGTAGAGTGTTCAGACTAAAAATAATTTTAACAAAATTAAAATTATATATATATTTTTTTTTTTTTTCGGTTGGCGCTACAGACCTTGTATATCTTTGACTGTGAGATGTGGTTTTCTAGACCACATCCTGATTCCTGATTTAAGTACACGGGGTAGGTTCATCAGTCCTACGCCCGGTCAGTGTGAGTTGCCTCCAGTAGGCTGACAGGCCTCACAAACCCAGAGGGTAGGGGTCTCGGGCAACGTTGCTTTTCCTGATGGACGGCCACCCATCCAAGTGCTAACCACGCTCGGCGTTGCTTAACTTGGTTACCTATTGCAAGCACCTTAGCCCGCATGGCTACCCCAGCCCCTATCATAGAGAGAAATACTTTATTAAAAGTAATGCTGCCCTACTACATAGGGTTGCTTCGTACACAGCATACCTATCAATCCACAAGGACATTAATTTTATATTTCATTTTTCTATTTTTTATACATATATATGTCATATCTTTCCTTTCTTTCTCTCTCTTTCCTCTTCCCCTCATAACAATACACTTACAAGTTATCAACAATAAAACCATATTAAATAATATACATAGCACTATAAACATTTTTCCAAGACAAAAAAAAAAATATATATTTCCCTGTTTCTCTCTTTAAATTTTCAAACGCCAGGAACTCATTACAACATCGCACACATGCATAACACAGCAATTCCCAGAATGTAGACAAAAAGACAGGACGACAGCAGATCAATTCAATATTTAATAAACAATTATTACCAGATGTCCTCAATCGGTATAAATATGATAGTGGATGATCCCCAGGGAGTCCAAAATAATATTGTCGGCCAATACTGCGAGCTCCCCAACATCAACACCTAGTTCCTCGAGAAAGCTCCTTGTTCTTTCCAGGATCGTTCTGCGAGACCCAAACCAGAGGCCTCTCACAGTGAACTCTCTCTCTCCGAAGGTCTCGCGGAATTTCTCTTTTAGGAAAGGGATGCATTTGTCGTATATATTCCTCTTTTCCCTTTCCACTTCACCCGCCTGATCGAGGTTGTTGCTCTCAAAGCGGACTGTTGGATCCAAGATGTCCTTCCTGTTCTGGGAAACGCGACAATATCAGCATATCTTGTAGAGCCTTCACTGTCTATGCAATAGACCTCGTCAAAGCAGGTGAATTCCTTTTCTCTAAGGAGCCTCATCACCTCGAACTTTACCCTATGGTGGCGGCGTGTTTTGAGGAGGGAATTGTTGGGGCATTTTCCCAGCACATGGGCTGGTGTTTCCGACTCTCTGCCGCATTTACGACAGATAGACCCAACTTCCTTCGACTGTCCACTGGCTCCTGGGACTCCGTGTAAAGGTGCGTAATTGATGTTTAGTTTTAAGGCGTTGGACCATTCCGACCCCGAAAGCACTTTTTTCTGGCATATGTATTTATTGGCTTTCGGGGTCTCTTTAAAGTGTCGAACTCCAACGCCTTGCCACCTGCAGCTGGCCCATTCTTCAAAAGAGTTTTCTCTCAGCGACTGTCGTAGAGCTCTCACGCTTCGGTGGCTCTGATCCACTCCCAGTCTTTCCGCACATTCCGCATTATAATCAAATGTGGACTGGAACAGGGAATCCGGCACATTTAGACAGCCACTGGGCAATGGACCAATGCTGCAAAGGAGCCTCCCATTGACAGCGGATCAGTCCCAATCCACGAAACCTCCTCGGTGCATAAAACATCGCCGTTGATGCGGCTCCCCTGCTAATGGCCTTGACACTCCTGCGGATATTTGTATCGATTCCTTCCAATATCGCAGGACGTATCTTTGTGAGGGGCTCTGTCGAATAATAATAATACCTTATTTATTCTGGGATGAGTCCCTTTAGGATAATACAGAAAGACAGAAATGTGGGCTAAGGAGCCTCAGAGATACATAAACAAAAATACAGAGTAATTAAATAGTCATAATAAAAAAAATTAAGTTACTTTATAATTTCAATCAGTTAATAATATTTATTTTCCATTAAATTTGCCATTGCGTTGTAATGCATCAAGCAAATGTGTTGGCGTTTATTCTATATTCTTGATATTTTCTTAACTTGTCAGCAGAAGATCTCTAGGCCACTGCCTTTTTAGTCATCGTTGAGGCTCACCAGGTAACAGGGAGGAAGATAGAGATAGAATGAGTGAATTTGGATGATTGAGAGTAGAAGAATGAAATGTTGTGTACTTGTGTATGGTGTGATTTGAAATAAACCAAGGAGCATTGATGATTTTACGAAGTATTTTGGAATGTGTGGTTTAAATTTTGTTTATGTGTGTGTGTTTTGCAGAATCCCAAAGCTCTGCTCCGTAGGTCCAAATAGGACTTAGTATGGTGGTGTAGATTAGTAGCTTGTTTAATAAGTTGAGTGGAGATCTGTAGTCCAAAAGATGTGACAGTTGTTTGTATCGTCTGGTCAGTTCTTGTTTTTTTAATTTAGTGTGAATGTTCCAGTTGAGTTTTTTGTCCAAGTATAGTCCGAGATACTGTACATGTTTTTTTGAGGGAACTGGCTTATTGTCTATTATCACAGCAGGACACGAGATCTTCTTGAGGGAGAATCTTACATGAATTGACTTGCTGGGATTGATTTTAATTCTCCATTTCTGAAACCATATTTCAAGATCGTGGAGGTGATTTTGAGGGCTATTGAAGCGATAGTGGGATTTTTGTGAAAAGAAAAAATTGCCGTATCGTTAGCAAAACTACAGAGAATGGTGCTAGGGTGCTCAGTGATATCAGATGTGTAGATAGAAAAGAGAAGAGGGCTTAAAACACTACCTTGTGGTACGCCTGCAAGTTGAGGAAAGAAGGGATAAGTAGAGGAATCAGTAGTAATACAGTTGAGGAAAGAAGGGAGAAGTAGAGGAATCAGAACAGAACCTATCAAGAAAGAAAGATTTAAGTATCAGAAAGTTAGTTGAAGGAAGGTGTGATTTTATTTTCCACAGTAAACCTTTGTTCCAGACGCTTTCAAACGCCTTCTCGATATCCAGAAATATCGTTGAGCAGCATTCTTTTTTCTCGAAGGCGACTTAGATAGCATCTACTATACGATGACACTGTTGTACAATAGAATGGTAAGAACGAAAGGCAGATTGATGATTCGGAATAACTTCCCGACTTTCTGAGATTGGCTTTATTCTAAGAAGAAATGATTTCTCAAATATTTTCCCCATTATAAATAATACAAAATAAGTTAATAATATAAAATAAAAAAATTGAAAAAATATGAAGTAAAAATAATGAAGAACGATCTAATAATTTATTTACATATTTACAGTAATATCTATTTACAATTTTATGGAGACTGGATGGATAAGAAATGATTGAACAGGTGGGATTTAAAGGTAGGATAGGTAATGCCCTTATATAATATAATAAGGAATTGACGGATGTGGGAAGAAGGGATGAGGATCGGATAATAAATGATCTGTCGAAAGAAGCGGTTCGGTGGGCCCTTATGTTTAAATCAGAAGACCGGGCATGAGTATTGTGGGAACGAACAAAGGATTTGAATTGAAGGAGCTTGGAGATGTATGAAGGATGGTGGGATTGGATGACTTGAAAAAGGAAGGATGCCAGGAAATACTTTTGATGGTAGAAAGGATAAAGCCACTCAACTCTGCATAAAAACAGGAAACAGAGGCATTCGTTCCTTAGGATCCCGAAGATGAATTATAAGTAAGTGTCTAGGAGTCTACAGGTTTCAAAGGGAAATAGATGACGGGAGTAATTCAGACGTTTTAAGGTGATATGGTATGGTGGGAGATATTGGATAAATGGTTTTTCCAGGAAAGCATTTGATCAAAGGTTATTCCAAGGTTTTTGATGGAAGGATAAAATTTGATGGGATTATCATCTTGAACAGAGTTGGAATATTAGGAACAGTTTTAAGGAGGTGATTGGAGCCTGTTAAAATTGTCTTCATCTTTTCCGAATTCAACTTCAAGGTGTTAGCTCTCGTGCAGTCACAAATCTTCTTGAAGTTTTTCTCTGGCTGATAATAGGTTGGAGGGTGGGGAGGACATGTATATTTGTAAATCATATGTATAGATATGGTATTGGGAGTGATGGATCAGGAGGGGAAGGTCATTAAGGGACACCAGGAGGGAGGGAGAGGGTCTTAGATGGAGGTTGACCTGGAACCAATTTGAAAGAAAGTATTTGAACCAACGCAGGGCACTGTTGGATAGAGGAAGATTGTGCGATTTAGTAAGGAGGATGTTATGGTCAAACACTTAGGAAAAATCTAGAAGGATGAGGATAGTAAGGTTTTGGTGTTCAGTGGAGTTTTGGAGGTCATAGGTTATTTTAAGTAGAGCGGATTGCGTTGATTAGCCAGGTTGAAAGCCAGATTGGAATGGGTTGATAAGGGAATGTTCCTCTAGGAAGTTGGAGACTTGATTTTGAACAATGCGTTCTAACGACTTTGAAAGTTTGGATAGGAAACAGGACGGAAATCGTGCATTGAGGTAGGGTTGGAAATTTTATTCAAAGGTCGGACTAGGACAGTTTTCCAAGAGGACGGGAATATGGAGTTTTGCAATGAAAAGTTGTAGATATGGTAAAGAACAGAAATAAGGACAGGAAGGCTAGATTTTATTAGTTTTACTGAAATATTATCAGGACCATAATCATTAATGTGAGATTTTAGGATAGTGAAAAGTAATTCATCGTAGGACTCAAGGAAGAAAAAGAAGTCTTCAGGATTTTATATATTATATAAAAGT